ATGTGTTTTACCTGGGGGATGGCATCCTTCAACTGCCTGAGGAGCAGTTTCTTTCCCGAAGGTGTGCGGACCCAGGACCAGTTGAACAGCCTTTGCGTGAGTGCCTTGCTCGCACATGTGCTCTCAGACTGTTCCTGATTTAGCCTTGCAAGCACAACCAGGCACACTGTGGTGTCCCGTGGCCCAGGATTTCCGTTTCAGGATGAAGTGCTTTACGACCGCATCTCAACGTTGCTGTCGCAGCTCCCTGCCCGGCAGAGTGTCCCGCAAAAGTTTCAGGTTGTGCCGAAGCAGCAATGCAGACATGACTTATTATTGTGCATGTTGAGACGTGTCAATTCTGACTTTTGCACATCCGAGTTGAGCTGCTGCATCCGGGAGTTGTTGGAGCAGTTCACAATCGAGCGAGGGTATGCTCATATCTTGCTGAACCCGTACATCGTGAATGGGGTGGCAAGGGGGTGTCAGTTGCAATCGTTTGCGGACACTTGGCTGCAAGTCCTTTGCGCATGGAATCCAGCTTCGCATCATGATGGTTTCATCTTTTGCTTCTGATTGAAAGGACAAAAGCCCAGAGTGGCAGGGCTGGATGCTCCCGATCCAGCAAGATGGGCACTTGTTGCACGTCTCCTACTACGCCGCCGATGTGGCCGCCTTCGCCGAGTCCTTCATGCTGAAGACGGGTATGAAGAAGATGGGACAGAGGCAGCTGCCAGGCAACATGGCCGGGGAGTGGCAAAGTGTCGAAGCCAGGACCGCCTTAGCCAGTGCCATGTTTTCTTGACGGATTGAGTCATGAGCCTGAAACTTCTGTCAGGAACATTGCACTGGTCGAGGGTGGCTTCTTCCGGCAGAGGTTCACGAAGGCATACCAGGAGACCTTGGGCAACTGCGGAGTCCGCCTTCACGTGCTAAGCCCTTCTATCCTGCAACTTGTAGCACTTATGGGTTGTGCAGAAAGTATTGAACTTGGTTGAAGCGGCTGCGCCTTGAATCACTGAGGCGAATGGACCAGCTGAAGATCGTCACTTCGTTGGATGGCGGCTACTCTCAGTGGTGGAGCGCCTTGCCCCAGGACGACTCAGGATTCAGGTCATTGTGGGTCACGGGAGACGGCTACTTCTACAGCCTCACGAGAAAGCAGATGAAGGTATGTTCCAAATACTTTACGACCCCGATGTACACAATCGAGGCCTGCCAAAGCTTCCATCTTGGTAGTCAAGTAGTCGTGACTTAGGCGCGACATGTTCGCGCTGAGGGATCCTGACCTGACCCGCCCCCAGGCTGAAGTCTTGAAGGGCGACCTGTACGAGAGCGATGCAGATTTCCGCTTCACCCGCAAGATGGAGATCAGCTGTGGGTGGACTGGGGACTCGTCGTACGATTGGAACTTCACGCTGGATGGCTACGTCTTCGCTCCTTGGTTGGACAGTCAGACTCAGAGAGTTGTATGTTTGCGCCATGGGTCATTGTGTGAGCAACTGTGCTTTAACTGTCACAGTCCCCAAGTCACTTAAGGAAAGGGCCATCATGTTCAAAAAGATCCCGATCGTCGTGAAGCTTACACGCGAGGCGGACTCCAAAGGCCGTCCATTTGAGCTTCACATGAGTCGCTGTGCCAAGTGGTGCAGTGGCGTAGACCAGGCCATGAGGTCCAGCAAGTCGCAGCTGAATGCAGCTGGCACCAGTGCTGGTGATGCTGCTGCGCACGATCAAACTGCATGGATCTAGGCTTTGAAGGCCATCTTCCGAAGTGCTGGCTGGGTGTCCTGTGCCTGAGGGAGTAAGTTAAGAGTTTATGCGATTCAGGTCCCTAGGTCCCTAGGTCCCCAGGTCTCCAGGGCGGCTGGATCCAGGACTGTATTTTGCAAGGATGCACAATTCAGTTTGGGCGTGTAGGTCTGAACAGAACGACTTGCCTACTGCCCTTTGTGCTCCTGCCGAATCAGAGCTTGCACCATCACAGCAGTGCAAAAATGGCTAAAGCGGCTTTCCGTGCACTTTTGCCTGTGCCCAGCATTTTTCAATGAAGATGTGATGCTTGCACATGCCAGGTGGCGGTGGACATCGTTGCCTACGTTCTCTTCTCCATTGGGATTCCAGCAAGGCAGGCTCGTTTCAGTCATTGTCCCACGTGCTGGCCCACGACATTGCCAGTTGATGGCCTGGGACCCCATCCTAGACCGTGAGCTCTGAAACCTGTCACGACAATCTTGACTCCGCTGCAACAATCAATGAGCCAACATGCAACTAGGCTCGTTAGTTGCATGCTTTACATTGCCAAACATCCGAAAACGTCTCGCAACCTTTGATATGGCAGGAATGTAGCTAACTGCTCTGCCATGTACATGTGCATACTGCCTTTTACACTTGATCTCTCTGTCACAAACCCAGTCCTATGAGTCGGAAGCATGGCGGGCCATAGGGTTGTGCAGTATGGTTGTTGAGCCTTTATCGATAAATATGGGCTTCCCCCAATGCAGGCTGTCTTGGTGAGCCGACCTGGCGGGAAGCTGATCTTCTCTGCGAGGTGCCTTCGCCACCCCGGCGGTTTGAATGCTTCAGCTTCAGTGATTCAATTTAAAATAATGCATGATTGAAGTGAACAAAGCGCAAAGCGACATGTTAGATTTGTTTCAGCAGCCCCAAAACCCCACACCCATAGACACATGAATCTTTCGCTTCGGCAGGTGTGTTCCTGAAGCTGCTGCTCCAACTCAACTGGTCCACCGAGGATGCCGGGGGAGGGCTTGGAGCTTAGGTTTGTAGATAGGGGGGGTGGTGTCGGATTCAATAACGGGAGTCACATGGGTGTTCAGCTTGGGGCTTCATCCTGCAAAGGGTGAGTTCTGATTATGTATATATATATATATATATGTTGAAACTGGTTGGTTAGGCTTCGGTAAGTTTTAGGGTTTAGGGTCAGGGTTTCGGGGTTTAGGGTCCAGGGCTTAGAGGCTTAGGGTTTGGATTAAGGGTTTAGGGATTTAGGGCGCTGCTGTCGTGAGCCATCGCATTTATGAGCATCCTAAGCCCCAAAACCCTAAACCCCTAAACCCTTAACCCTAAAACCCCAAACCCTAAACCCCATAGAATTCGAAACTCCACAGTCCCAGGGTTGCATCATTCTGATCCCTTTAGTTTAGGGCGTTTTTTGTTTAGGGTTTTGGGTTGCACAGGTTTAGGGTTTGGGGTTTAGGGTTTTAATTACTGTATTCCTTAGAGTCCCTATGTGCTTAGAATAAGCCTTAAAGCCCTTTATGAATGTATTGTGGCTTCTGCAGATATGGGTGGTTCTCTATTCCTCTCCTTCCGAGGATCTTAGTCTTCTAAGTCTAGGATGCTGAACCATGCAAGGGTTTAGGGTTTAGGGCTTAAAGGGCTTGTAGCTTAAAGGGCTTGTAGGGTTTAGGGTTTAGGGGGAAGATTGAAGACTTAGTAGCACGACGGTTGACGATATAAATCCTGCAGTACAAGACTTCATGTGAAAAACAAATGCAGCCCTGTAGAGCCCCATGGCGCTATAGGGGTTCAGGGTTTGGGGGGTTTTCGGGGCCAACCCTAAACCCTAAATTTAGGGTTTAGGGCTTGCGCCCTACATACTTGGAGGTTCGTGGGTAGTTATAAGTGGGGTTATACGTCCCCTAATATGGGTTGTAGCTATAGATACCCTACTTATAACCCCACTTATAACTACCCCTAGACCCTAAACCCTAAACCCTATTATATAAACCCTATAGAACCCTGTAAAGGAACCCACTTATCTAAACCCCAAGCCCTAAACCCTATAGAACCCTTTAAAGGAACCCCTTTAAAGGAGCCCCTTTTCCAAAAATATCCTCCGTGTGCCTTTGCAGCGAGAGCAATATCCTAAACCCCAGACCCCAAACCCTAAAGCCCTAAACCCCTAGACCCTAAACCCCAAACCCCAACCCAAACCCGTAAACCCTAACCCTAAAACCCCAAACCCTAAACCCCATTAGAATTCGAAACGGCTCCACAGTC